CCACGGATTCGAAGACAGATTCAACACTTACAGGAAGCAAGGAAGGAAAAGAAGAGAAAAAATGCAAAGGAAGTCAAGATGGTCAGTATCGGATACATAAATAGTATGAATGGTATAGGAGAGGAGGAAGGAGAGGAGGAAGAAAGATATGCTGATGTGCACTTTCTTGATTTTTTGAGAGAATCAGGTGAGGAGGAGGAGGAGGAGGAGTTTACTGATTGGGAAGAGGAAGTTGATACAGGCTTCAATGCCAGTAGGGGAATAGAAGATAATGGAAGGAATGAGAGATTATTGGTGAGGCTGAAAAGGGTAGAAGCGAGTATCTTCAACAGTGCAAAAATGTGATACAGTCGAGGAGTCTATATAGGAGAATGCCAAACACATTGTAAACGTGAGCAAGAGTGAGAACTCCATCAAGGAGCAGCAGGATGTATACCACTTACTTCAACTTTTGTTCGCCAAAGCCAACCTGCATCTACATCTACTTCACTAATATTGAATTGCCAACCCTCATCTGAGTCATCCAATATTCCAGCTCAAACTGCCCAAACCAAACCCCTCGAACCAATATGACAGCCAGAACCTATTTCCAGTCAGCCCTTACAGTGGCTCTCAGCAGATGATTCAAGACAGCAAAATCATAAAGCTGTAATTGCTGAATTGAAAAAAGAAATCAATTCCAAAAAGTCAACCCTAATTGGTCAGAACCTCACCCGACATCACGCAGTACTAGCATATGTATATATGCAACAAAGTAAGCATTTGGGGGAGACACGAAGTCAATTAGCATATGCTGTAGCACGTTGCTTTAATCGGGGATGGTATTTTGCACGGAAAATTGTAACTTGGGAACTTACCTGGGTAAGGGAGCGGGTTATTGAAGAAGGAAAGAGAGGGTGCTTCTCAAAGGTACAGTCATGGTTGAATGATGAAGGAGTTCAACTAGCTGTTCAGGAATAGATATCGGGAGCTGGTGAACATAAGTAGTAATCTTTTTTTTTCTGTTACCCTTACAGCTTGAAGGTTTAACAATCTTGGTATGGTAAATACATTTTGAACAATATACTAATGATCTACAATAGATATTACTGCTCATAGATTAGCAAAGGCAGTTGGTAACTATCTTCAGTCACAGCGTACTATGGAAGTACTGGAAGAGGTGTTAGGAATGGAAAAGGATTGGGTAGAAGATGGAGGTGGGGATCAGGGTATAGTTAGTGGAGGAGGAGTAAGAGGTAGTGGGAGTAGAGGAGGGTGCAGGATGAGAATTCGTGCTCGTACTGCACAAAGATGGTTGAACAAAATGGGCTTCACATATGGTGAGGTTCGGAAGTCTGTCTACATAGATGGATATGAGAGAGAAGATGTGGTAAAATACGGGAAAGATATTTTCTTACCTCTCTAGGATAGTCTTGTACCACAAATGGTGCAGTTCAAACTGGATGGAACTTGGACAATTCTGGATACTCTACTGGAAGGGGAAAAACCAATTGTATTCATTACACATGACGAGTCTACATTTAATGTCAATGATGATAAACGTAGAATATGGAAAGAGGAGGGGAAACAACCTTTACGAGCTAAGTCTCGTGGTAAGGAGATTATGGTATCAGGCTTCTTAACCCCTGGGGGACGTCTAAAAGTACCAGACACCATACCTGATGAGGAATTACTTCAAGATCATATGTGGCCTAAACGTGGTAGTATTCCTATACGTGATGCTATGGAATTCTTGGAGTATGGGAAAAATAACTATTGGACTAGAGATAAAATGGTACACCATATGATGCAAATTGCCTTACCAATTTTCCAAGTTGCATTTCCTGGCTGTCAGGCCCTATTTGCCTTCAATAACGCTTCAAATCATAGCTGCTATGCACCCAACGCACTTTTGGCTTCTAAGATGAATCAAGGTCCTGGTGGAGGCCAACCATTAATGCGAGATGGTTTTATTCATTCAAAACATCGTCTGCAGTCTATGGTCTACCCAGAGAATCACTCGAACAATGAACTCAGAGGGAAAGCAAAAGGGCTTGAACAAGTATTGAAAGAGCGTGGATTGTGGAAAAAATGCCGGTCGAATGGGTTTCCCTTCTTACTTAAGTGTCCGACCTCAAACAACAGATTAGGGTATGATCCAATGATTCTTGGAGGTTGTTGTGGTAGAATTGTTTTGGCTCAGGAACGGGATTTTCACGAATAGAAAGGACATTTACAAGAAGAACTAGAAGCTTCAGGGCAAAGAGTTATCTTCTATCCTAAGTTTCATTGTGAACTGAATTTTATTGAGCGTTTCTGGTGCTCTGCTAAATACTATGCTCAGGAGAATTGTCAGTACTCCCTTGATGGCCTCCGAGAAACCATTCCCTGTGCCCTCGATTCTGTTTCGACAACTACTATTCATCGGTACTTTCTTGCCAGCATGCGTATCCTTGATGCATATCGGTCTGGACTCCACTATGGCACAGCAGAGTTTCGCAAACGGGTTTACAAAAGTCACCGCCATGTTGAGGACAAAACAAAATGGTAGTGTTACACTACTGTATTTAAGGTCCTTCAATCTTAGGGTTTTTCTTTGTTTATTTCTAAGAATTTGGTGAATTTTCCAGTGAAGCTTGGAGGATTTCCCTTTACGAGGGGTTCTAGATTGGGTTCCTAAATATTGTTTTCAGCCCTTTGGGCTTATGATGGATGGCATTGATTTCTATTGGTTATTTGTTTTGATTTGGGGGTTGAAGTTTCTTTTGTTTTAATTAGGTTTTCTAGGCTTCTAGGCCATACCTTAGGGTACATGCCGGGCATTTTCCTGTATTTACGAATAAAACCAAGGATTTAACAAAAAAACAAAAAAAAAAGGTCCTTCAATCTTAGTCATCATTTTTGCCAATGTCCGGGTACTCCGGCTACAGATGTCCCTCACCATAACCGTGCCAAGGTTGTGGCGGAGCCACAACCTTGGCACAGTTAATGGTGGCTTGTGTGATCATCACCACGTGAGGCTGAATCGTTGATTCTGTGACAGAATTTCTGTCACATTGTTGGAGGGTTAGGGTTACCACAGATCCTTGCAACTTACTCCAGTATGATACCAAGTTACCGTAGGCGCTTTCTCCGTAGGCGCTTTCTCAACGCCGCACAAATGCATCTCTAATGATGGTGAGAATTATCATTGCGCTCTGACCATGAACAAAACATTAAGTTACTGGCATTCGTTCATTCCAGACAGCAAGAAAGAAAATAATTCCGTTTGCTGCCAGATGGGCTCCGCACGTGTCAACATACTTCCCGTGGCCGGTCTGCTGGGTTGGCAAAAAAATGAACAACTGATCCTTGATCAACATGAGACACCACCATGTACTCGTACATGTCACTTGAGAACCGTGCGAACTCTTCAATATCAGTGGAAGCAGATTGACGTCACGCTAACATACCATAACACCCCTTTTCTACTGCTTACCGAATCCTGAATCTCTCTCTCTCTCGCCCTCTTCGTCCTCTATTTTCCTCACCTAGCTCGCTTTTACCAAACGCTCACGGAGAAAGTAACGGGAAAAAAAAAGAAAGAAAGAGAAAGAATCACGAAATGGCAACACCACTTATCATCCTCCCGGCAGAGCTCCTTGTCCAAGTCCTACAATCACTGCCCGACTTCGCGACACTACACGCTGTAACCCTCACTCACCCACGCTTCAACAACATCCTCCACGCAAACCCAGGCGTGATTTGCTCGGCCATAGCCAAATCAGATTTCGCAGAGCTATACCCCCTCGCCCTCTCCATCCTCCCAACATCCCCTCCACCGCGTGGAATCGGAGTAGCAGAAGCCAGAGGCCTCCTACACACCCGCCGAACCTGCCACAAACTAGTCGACGTCTGGGGTAGCTCGCTTGTGGAAACACTCGGGTTCACGGACGGCTGGGGCGCGCCAGCCTTCACTCCGGTGCAAAAACGCCGAATCCTTACGGCGGCGTATCGCTTTTGGCGGGTGGTTCGTGGCGGTGGGTGGGAAACGGGCTACGTCTCGGAGCTGGACGACCTCTCCATCTTGGAAATGGCAGAGTTCGTCGAACTACTTTTGCCAAACACACACGTGCTCGAGAGCATGGGTGATCGGGCGGAAGCCATGAGGGCGCAAACATGTTTGCAAAGTCGGGCGAAGCAGTTGGGGTTGAAGGTGTGTGTAATGGACCTTCGGTTGGTCAGGGAGTGGTTTGGAGGAGGACCTTAGTGCGATGCATGGATGGGTGAGGTGGTTAGACTAATTTCCTGTTTTTGCAAATTTGCGTTTCATTAAGGTAGAGAGTTTTCGGTTCGTGGTAATATATTATAGATAGATAAGTTAGATAGAATGTAGCCCTCACACTTATCGTACGTGCAGTGCGCATTTACCGGGGCTCTTCCTTCCAGAAGTGATGGTCAGAGTGGGGGAAAAAACCACCCGGAAAGGTGGGATACGGGGTGAACTTGGCATCTCAACAACTCGCTTCGAGATTGATAGAGTACCGTACCGAACTTTCTTTCTTTAAATATGATCATTACGACACTCTCCGTACAGTAGACAAAAAGCAACCCCAATCAATAACCTAAAATACTCGCCGGGACAAAAGAATAAAAAGGATATGTCCGCGACTTTGAGACCTCCGCTACACAAATCCCGTATGATACTTGAAAGAATTTCACTTACTTATTTCTCATCACCAGAGGATATTTGATTTCTATCCACGGAATCTTACATTATCGATCGGCGGCTACACACCGCCAAGCCCCCCCGGCCAAAAATCGGGAAATGAAACGGACGAAGATCCCAAAACAACCCGCCCGCGTGATCACACATTTTTTGCAAACCATCCAATATGAAAACCTGCTGACCCCATTCAACAGGGTGAATATAACACCCCACAGCATTTGTTAAATAATGCGAAATGAGGAAACCGAAGAACTGAGAAAGATGAAGGTCGGGGTGGGGGGGCTGTGGAAGAAAAAAAAGAAAAGAAAATATGAACCCAACGTGGGGGTCGAACCCACAACCTTCAGATTATCTCCGCGTAGAAGTCTGACGCGCTACCATTGCGCCAGCCGGGTGTTGGATGCTTTCCAGGGATTGAGTAGATAAGGGAATGCGCGCGGCTCCGCGCCGGTGGGAAAGAGGTGGGGCTGACGAGGGTACCGTATTTGTTCCGGGGGTTTGGTTTGGTTGGTGGAGTGGGAGAGGAGGGAAAGTGGTAGCGAGGGTGCAACGTGAATGGGGAAAGGTGCGCCAAAAAGCCTTTTAGCGGGTGAGGTTTTTTTTTCTTTCGGCCTTTTTTTCTTTTGGGATGGATAGTTGCGGTAGCGTATCCGCGCTTACGGTAAGAAATCTTCTGCACAGTGGGTGGAATGTACTCGAGTACAGTATGGTGCCGGACAACCTAAATCTGCCCCCACGGCCAAGTGAGTCAGAGACCGAGTGATCGGCTATGATGCCGACCATGCACTTGGTACACATAAACTGAGGCAAAGCGGACCAATAACGATGAATGAAATTCATAGTCAGGAAAAGTAGAGAGATGGAAGGGAGGAAGTAGAGATCTTTAACTTGAAACTCAGGTATATATACAGTACACAAAACAAAAAAAGAAGATAGAAGAGAATAAGAGAATTGATTTCTTCTTTTACTTTTTCTTAAAAATCATCCTCCAGATGGCGAACACGGCGGTGTGATAGATACTCATGATAACCAGTACTCCCATATGTGAGACCATTATGGTAGGCTTCCATAATACGCTGTGTTCGAGCATAAAACAAGGAAATAGTGGTTGGCTTCACTGAGGAAAGCGCTTGAGGAATGATCTATGTATATTTAATGTTAGTAGAATTTAATTTCAGACCATAGCTTAAGGAGCAGAAAATTACTGTCTTTAATCCTTCGTAATTATACTCGCAATTGTCATGGGTATAGCGTTTAACCTGACCCCAGTAGTATTCTATCCAATTCAACTCACAGTGAAATTTTGGATAGAATAATACTGTATGGCCAGTTGCCTCGATCATTTCTTGAAGTTTTCCCTTCTGATTTAAAAAATCATACTGTAGGGATAGTATCCTGCGAGCGCAGTAAGCTATTATTATGAACCACATAAGTAATTGTATCTTAAGAGAGAGACTTGGATATCTTACACTTTTCTGAGCAAGAAGGGGGTAAGATCTCGCAGGCAGGACATTTCCGTCCAACATATGGTCTGCAATCCTTACAATATATCTTCTTTGTACATAACAAACATCCTCGCCTTACTGAACATAAATCACATAGCTGCCGTGGTGAACAAAAGTTACTCCCACGACAGTCTTTTTTTTTCCCCTTCTGTGGTTTATGAGCTGGGCAATAGCTTCCTTTAACACACTTCTTGCATCTTTTCCTAGCCCGACAGTCCTCACACTGTAGTTTTGGGCATTCTAATCTTAACCCGGCTGCCCACAATCCTCTCTCCTGTAGCACAGCCTCAATCCCCTTGGGGATACCATTTTCATAAACCATAGACTGGATAGTTCTCGTGCCTTTAAGAAGAAAGTAACCATTTCGCATAGTTGCCTGCTCTCCTCCCCCACTTAGATTCATATTTTGAACTCGTAATGCATCTTCGGCAAAGGAACTATGGCTAGAAGCATTATCAAATAGGAACAAGGCTTTGTATCCAGGATAAACAGCTTCAAACATCTTTATACCAGTATCAAGAGTATGGCTAATAATGTCCTCAGTTGACCAATACCCTGAACTGTTTTGTGAACTGAATTCAAATAATTTTGATGCATGTTCGGGGATGTTGAAGTACTGACGCTGCTCAATACTCAGGCTTTCCGCAGTAAGGCGTCCACAGGGTAGCAGGAAATCAGATATCATAATTCCTCTCCCATGCCCCTTTGGTCGTAGAAAAGTACTATGTACCTCTTTCCATGCTCGTGATCGGGCTTCATTACTATTCAGTGTACTCTCATCATGAGTAACCAGAATAACAGGAGGATGTAATCCTCCCACTTGACATCCTCGAGGATATTCCTTAGGCTTTATCCCTCCTTCCTCATTAAATTCAAAAAGGTATGGCTCCAGTCCCTTTAGCTGCTCTAAAAAGCGAACTCATTCCTCTACCACATCAGGACGTTCATGGCCATCAATATATACTCCCTTTCTGACCTCTGTCCAATGAAATCCTAGTCTAGCCAGCCATCTCCGTGCAGTGCGTGCTCTAATTCCCTTCCATTTACGGTGGTGAGTTTCCTCAAGTCCATCTTGAATTCCAACTCGCTCTATTGCTTCCAGAACTAATTCCTCTGCTTCTTCATTTTCTGAATTCTCCCTATTGATAACTGAGTGGGATAGAGCATCTTCAAGTTGATCGTTATTGGCAGGCTTCAGGTAATTAGCTACGGCTTTTGCTAAACTCCGTGATGTGACTTCTAAAGAAATATATATATGATTAGCTATTACTTCCATGAATAAGGTTTATTTTATACACTTACTTTCACCAGTTCTCATAATATATTCCCTCATAGCTAATAGTACCCCCTCATCCTCAAACCATGTCACCAACCTTCCATCCCCACCACCCTGCCGACTTCTCTGAATTTCCCTTTCTTGAACCCATGAAGACTCCCATTGAACTAGCATACGAGCAGTATGCATACCCTGTCTATGGCTATTGGTAACTCTAAGAGCTATAATTCGCCGTTGGAAACCATGGTTTTCTTTTCTGAGCTGTGCATGTAGAAATTGTAACACTATTTCATGCCGAAGCCGATAGGTTCCGATCAGCCCACAATCTCCGTACTTTTCCTTGATTTTCTTTTTGTGGTTTAATAGGTACGTGAGATCTGAAATCGCATTTTGCCGCTCAATTCTGGTTGGTCTCCTCCTCCTTGGTGGACTACACCCACATGGAACCTCATCCAATGAAGGTATACGGTCTCCACTGCGAAAAATTCACTTTCTCCACAATTTTCAGGATCATCCTGAGCCTTGCAGAGTCCTACCATTCTTGCCCAGTCCCAAAGTGCCCGAATATCATAGCATCTTGCACCTTCTTCCTTGAGTTGTCGAGCTTCCTAATGTTTTCTTCACTTACTCCAGTCTGAACCAGATCCCCAGCTTGCTCTAAGGTGTGTTCCTGCACCCTCGTGGTATTTTAGATCTGATATCTGCTGACTCTTACATTCACTTCCATCTTCTTCTAGATCACTTATCTCAGAGTTGATCTCCGAGTCTCCACACTCATCCTCATATCCCAATGGTCCTTCCCCCTCATTCTCCTCCTTTTCATTATTGTTGAATTCTGATTCGCTATCATCGCCGCTCTTGGAGTCCTCCACTGAGTCACCACTTGATATATCATCTGCCGAGTCCCATTGCCCTTCGTATGTACTTTCTAAAGTCTCTATTGTCTATTACATGTTAGTTTGAATCGTGTCTTGTCTAATATTAGGTTAAGTTAGTTTACCGGAAGCACAGTTCTTACCTCTACATTTTTACTTTTCATATTTTTGTGCTCCCTCGCACTGAGCAGTGCAAGGTTCAACTGCTTTTTTCGCTTTGCCGATACCATTGGGCTGTGTTGGATATTTGTAATAGGAGAAATCACACTGGTGGTTTTTGTTGTTATCTGTATTGTATCTCCTTTTTTTTTTTTTCTTCTCCTGTTTCCTTTCTTGGCTTTACTCTCGTACTTTACCTAACTTGGAATAGTTTTATTCATAGGATATCACTCGTGCCAAGTCACACTAAATTTCTTGGTATCTTGGCATATTTTCCCCCTGGCCAACTTCTTATGCCTCACCTAAAATGCACCCTTTTCACAGAGCAATATCATCATTGAAAATTGTTTTTCATTAATTTCCTCTGGTAAATTTCTCTAATAGATACTAATCTAACTAACTACCAGACAGATTTCCTCCTTGGCTCAATCTGGTTGTGTTGTTTTTTATATTTCTTGTTGTTTCGCGATCGTTGTGGGCAGATTTAGGTTGTCCGGCACCATACTGTGCGGTACAGTGCTCGCTAAAGTAAATAGAAACTCCTTGCGAGGTTAGCCGGCGGTTGTGATGCGGTACTAGGAGAATAAGGCTCGTTGGGCGGGTTGATGATGGGAGAAATAGTACCGTGTATTGATGGTTATTGCGCGCGGATCGGATATCGCTGGAAATTGACGTATCATACCGTAAAAACTCGAATAATTGGACCATGTGCTACAAGGGTGGATCATGAATTGATGGTACGGAGCAGGGCTGTTGATGATGGTTTTAAACAAGAGTAATGGAACAAGCAACCCATAACCCTTTCAATACACAACCCACCACAACTCTAGCAGAGTCAAATAAGAGCTAATTTCATGATAAGTATGTTGAGATAGGTATTGCCTATTCTATGAACCGATTTTTTCTCTCCTTACATCCACCAATGATGGACAAAATAGGCATTTCTTCAGGCGAACGGTATCTTGGCGTACTATTTGGTGTGGGGCGTTCTTTTACTACTGTACCATCAATTCATGATCTACCCTTGTATGTAGTCAAAAATTCCCTTTTCTGGAAAGGGGGCGAAAAACACTGCAAAAACACAGCCCCTTTCCCCCTTCCGAGATAGAATAAAAAACAAAAAATTCTTGACCTTACAGAGAGAGGAAAGCTGAACGACATAGCACACGGTCCAATTATTCGAGTTTTTACGGTAGAGTGCTCGTAGTGTCTCTAGTGCTGCTGGTGGGAAATAATTAGAAGCACCGTATTATAAGTGGAATGCCCCTCGCAAGGTGCGCAGTATCGTGGCGGTTGAAATGACTGGCAAAAGGTAGGGGGTTGGGGGATATCTCTTTATTTTGGCGGGTATTATCGCGTTGTCGGGTACCGGTATGGTATGGCGAGGCAAGCGCTCCACCCGAAAGGCCATGAATAAGTTGTGCACCCGAAGCGAGTGGTAAACATTTAGGAGCGCAACTTCGACTGGGCCGCGCGAGTACACTCTTTGCATACCGTAACCACTCTGGTGATAGAGACCGTTGCCAAGCAGGTTGCCGGCAAGGCTATCCAGTTTAGGAGCTTGGCAGAGGACCTAAAAA